GGCAGTGCAAGCCTTTAATCCCAGCAATCAGGAGGCAGATGTTTGAGGACAGAGGCTAGCCTGGTCTACAGAGTGAGTTCTAGGACAGCCAGGACTACCCAGAGAAACCCTGTCTCAAAAATCCAAAACAAACATAATAATAATAATAATAATAATAATAATAATAATAATAATAATAATATAAAATAAAGGGTTGTCTGAAAAATATCCACAAAGTTGTTCAATATTGCAATGTTTACCGCAGAAAGTTTGGAAACATAAAGGCCCAACAACAAGGGAATGGTTTTTGTTTGGTTGGTTTTCAGTTTTTCAAGACAGGATTTCCCTGGGTAGCCCTGGCTGTTCTGGAACTCTGTACAAGCTGGCCTCAAACTCAGAGATCAGCCTGCCTCTGCCTCCCCATCACCTCCCGGCTAAAAGGGAATGTTTAAAATGAACGCAATGAAATACAACCATTAATACTGGTCTTGGAGGATTTTTTTTTAATCATGTGAAAATGCTTACAACATAAAGTTAGGTGAAAGAATGGATGCAAAGAACTACACAAATAGAATGGTCCTAACGGTGTGATATACATGACACACACAGAAAAGAAATCAAGAGGATAGAAATCAACAAAAACCCTGCAGCATGCTAATCACCAGTCTCCCCCAGGCTTGGAAAGTGGGCCGTTCTGAATATGGCCCTTAGACATTGTGAGCGTTGTGAGAATGATAGCTTCCGAGATTGAACAAAATAAACCCCCAGATTAACAAGCAAGGACCATGTGACCATACAGATGCTCATTTATATTCTGGTATGATGCAGATTTTGGCATAATTTTAAGGGTCACAGTCGTACACTGGGCCAGGCCTGTGTGGATCCCCTAATCCAGATCTACCTACCTACCCAGTCAATAGGTGGCAATCCTGTTCTCCACCCAACCCAGGCAAACCAGTTCACCAGCGCCTTCATCTTGAAGTCCTACCATCAACAGCACACCCTTGACTTCCCCCTACAACCCTCCCCACCCCCTCACTTCCAGGTCACGTGGTCTGTAGTGGCTGTTAGGGGAGTCTGCCCTGCTTCCAGCTCAGCATCAGCGTCCCACCTACTCAACACAGGCTGAATTTCAGTGGGGTTTTCTTGTCTGCAGAGCAGAGCTTAGAGAATGAAGGAGTGGGTCACCCTGTGGCCCGGGACTTTCTGGTATTGAAGTCTTAATGCTGCCTCAGTCTCTGGGACTTCCCTGCCTCCAAACACAGCTTCCTCCTCCTCACCGATTTCCACCATGGCTTCTCAGCTGGACCTTCCGGAACCCCTCCCAACGTCAGCACACTCCCACTTTTCTGAACAGCTTCCCTGCTTTTCTGACCTTCAGCTCCCTGGTAATGCCAGCCTGGCTAGGAACAGACCTCTACTAGCAGATGCTGGACTCGGGAGAAAATAGCTGAAGCTTCCAAGGATACTTGCCCAGGGCAATTTCCTATGCCCCATCCTATTCCCAGACCTTTCTAGAATCAGGCTTGACCCAGCATCATGCGGTTGTCTCTCTGCTTGTCCACAGGTCAGGTCCCCACCTGACTGACATTCAAGGCCCTGCACTAGCTGGTCTGTTTCCCTTTCCCGTCCTCACTCCCAGCTCTCCCATCCTTTCATGTCCTGTCACATCAAGCTTTCCAGTCTAAGCTCATATTTACCTCATACCTTTTCTCTTTCATCCTTTCCTCTCCCCGGACTCACATCCTCCCTTTCTGCTGACCGGCTCCCCGTGCAAAGTCTGTCCATTTCACAATCACCTCTTGCTTTCAATATTACTGTTATTTAAAATGTGGTCCTTCTGTAGCTCAGGCTAGTTGAGAACTGAGGATTCTTCTACCTCAACTTACTGCATGCTCTGTTAAGGGCATGAGCTGCTGGCTTAGGCACACACACACACACACACACACACACACACACACACACACACATTGTTTTTTAAATCACAATACATGTGTGTATAATTGCCTCTCCTACCAGGGGGTGGAAGCAAGGTTTTCAACAGCCCTGAATCCCCCAACATTAGCGTCAGCCCTTTAATTGTTACTCTGCTTTCTCCAGCCTCCTCACATAGACTGCAAGTTCCCAAAGGCAAATCTTCCTGTGTCAGTGTCCCACACTCCATCTGGGGCACAGCTTCTTACAAAATGTGAGGCAGATCCTGAGAGCTCCTTCACTTAGGAAACATGCCCAAATTCCTCGGGTGATCATGTAAGTGGTTGCTTTCACTCAAAATGAGATGGCCGTCTAGGGCTGTGACCCAAACACCTCAGTTCTGTCCACACACCCTCATGCAGAGGGGGATGACTCCTCTAAGCTTCACTCACCTCTGAGACAGGCACTGTACCCTCCTGTGCCCTGCCTTCTTCACCAGGACGTTGTCCCTCAATGTAATGATCAAATGGGACAACCATAGGGAAGGCAGGAGGGCTGAGAGTCTCTCAGCTCAAGCATGAGAATGGGGAGCTTCCTCCTCCTCCGGCTACAGCCCAAGCAGAAGCAACACTGGAGTCTGTCAGCGACAGCAGCTGGGACGAGAAAGGGTGCAGGTGTTCCCCATGTGTGAATCAAGCTGGGGGTTCTCTCCAGCACAGGCCCCCGTCCACGGTTTCCCCATTTGTCCAGCGGTTCTTTTTCTCACTCAGTGGGATGGCGGTTAGGGAAAAGAAAACCACTGACTCCTCTATTTACTAAACTATGTGACCTGAAATAAGCTGCAGAACCATCTGCAGCAAAGGCACAGAAACACGGTCCAGCACAGTCCTCTGCTGTCCCTTCTTTTGAACAGTTGGGCCTTCAGCACAGGGCTGGTCTCGGTGTGAGTTACCAATGCTGTGGGCAGGGCAGCACTGGTGGCATAATTACTGGAACCTCCTAGCCAGGATTCCAAAACAGCCACAATTTCTAAGGGACTCTTGTCTGCCCTTAAGTCACTAAGGCACTTGCCAATTTCTGATTGGGAAAGCAGGACTGCCACGCCAGGCAGGCACCTCCGCAGTTAGTTCTCTCTCCTCGGTCTCAAAAGTCGGACCTTTTTAATACTAACAGGGAGGAGGGCAAAGGAAGACATTAAGCCATGGTTCCCAGTATCCGGTTAGTGGGGAGCTAGGCCCCCCTCTTTCCTCACCCCACTGCCACACAATTTTGGCTCTAAAAGTGCAGATTCAGTCTGTTTATCTTTTTTTTTTTTTTTTTTTTTTTTTTTCCGAGACAGGGTTTCTCTGTGTAGCTTTGCGCCTTTCCTGGAACTCACTTGGTAGCCCAGGCTGGCCTTGAACTCACAGAGATCCGCCTGGCTCTGCCTCCTGAGTGCTGGGATTAAAGGCGTGCGCCACCACCGCCCGGCCAGTCTGTTTATCTTAAGGGTTCTTTTCCACCGTGGCTCTTCCTGGGAGTCACCTGGGGGAAAATGTAACTCTCATGCCTGGACTGTACTCCAAACCAGTTTAGTCAATCTTTAAAACCACTTGGGACTGGGGCTGGGGCTCAGTTGGTAGAGAACCTACCTGGTGTGCACATAGGCCTGGGTTTGATCTCCAGCACATCCAATGCCAATGAACACATCCCGAATTGTACTTTTGTAAGGCGGCATTTTCAGACTTATTAGCTTCATTTCAGGCTCCAAAATTAATAGTAACTGAAATTCACAGGTTCTAAAACACACCCTTTACAAATATTCTAAACTGTTTTTGAAAAGCCAGGTGACCTTATAACCATATTTCAGGAAACATAAGTAGACAAGGTTGGAGAGAACCAGTTCCTTAGGGCAGTTCTTCCCAACCTTTAATGCCCTGTGGGTCACTTAAGGTACTGTTAAAATGCAGATTATTTGTTGGACTTTCTGAGCTGAGGTCTGAGACTGCCTTTCTAACAAACTTCTAGGGCTTCTGATGTGCCTGCTCCTTGCACTACATATCTAAAGCAGCAGTTCTCAACCAGTGGGTTTCGACCCCTCCAAGGGGTTGAATGGCCTTTTCACAGGGGTTGCATATCAGATATCCTACATATCAGATACTTACATTACAATTCATAACAGTAGCAAAATTAGTTATGAAGTAGCACCAAAAATAATTTATGGTTGGGGTCACCACATGAGGGTCACAGCCTTAGGAAGGTTGAGAACCACTGTTCTAACTTTAGGTGAGGGGGTTGCACTGGGAAGACTCATTTAAATGAAACTCCTGGCCCTGAGAACTCTGGCTAATGAGGTGTGTTCAGTGTCTGTGTGGCAACTGCTAGGTTGCACCCTTACTCCCACAGAAAGACCGACAAGAGGAGAGCGAGGGGGCAGAGCTATCCCGGGTCTCCATAGGCAGCGTCCAACCGCCCTAGGAAGAAGTTTGCTGTGTAAGGTGACAGTGACATACCACCCACCCAGAATACCAGCAAAGTCCACTCAATAAGAGAAGCTGGTGTGGGGCTAGGGGAAGCAAACAAAATTTCTCTGCTACATACTCCCTTTCCTTCATGTCTTCGTTTACCAAACAGTTGATGAGGACCTACTGGTGAACCACAAATTCTAAGGTCAATCAGATTTAGTCTGCGAATGGAAGAAACGTGCAGTGGTAAATAAATTAGGAAAACAAAACAATATGAAATGTCAGTGTTGGAGTGATGGCGCACGCCTTTAGTATCAGCATTCACTCAGGAGGCAGAGGCAGGTGGATCTCTGAGTTCGAGGTTAGCCTGGTCTGAGCAAGCTAGGGATACACAGTAAGAGCCTGTCCCCACAAAAGAAGAAGAGTCAGGTGGTGGTGGCCCATGCCTTTAATCTCAGCACTCGGGAGGCAGAGGCAGGTGGATCTCTGCAAGTTCCAGATCAGCCTGGTCTACAGAGTGAGTTCCAGAACAGCCAGGGATACAGAAAGAAACCCTGTCTCAAAAAACACCACCACCACCCAGAACAAAAAGAAACACACACACACACACACACATACACACATACACACACACACACACACACACACACACACACACACACACACTCTCTCTCTCTCTCTCTCTCTCTCTCTCTCTCTCTCTCTCTCTCTCTCTCTCTCTCTTATTCACTCACAAGTGCTAGGAATCCTGAGAAATGAGCCAGCACAAAGGATCAATAACAGCCCCTAGAGCAGACAAGTCTTTGCCAGGACTATCCCCTTGATTCCCTAAAACCAAGACCTTGTAATCTGAAGACTCAATTTGGGGAATACCCTTAACCTTCAGCTCTTCAATGCAAGTGAATCCACAGGAACAGAGAGGCTCTTAGGTATGAGCTCTTCAGAAGGGAGGAGGTAGCCGAAATTTCCTCCCAGAGCTCCAGTACCTGCACTCTACCCTACTATGTCAGAACCCAGATCATCTCATTAAAGAACATTAGAGTCTGCCCTTTGACTGACTGGCAAAGCTTTTAATTGGCTTGCCCTGTCATACTGCTAGACATAAAGGGGACATCCCCAGCTTAAAGAAGTAGTTCTCCGGCTGGAGTACAGAGTCTCAAGAGGTAGGCAGGGTGCAAGAACCAGCAGTCCACACTCACCCAACTTTTATGGGAGCGAGAGAATGTGCCTCTATCCCAAGCTAGTTTTTCTTTTTCTCTATCTCACAGACAGGAACCTTACTGGAACCTTTTAAGAGCTGGAGAAAGCGGTTCTTCTCTGAGGAGACGGCAGAGATGGGGAGTGGAATCAGTGCTGAGGACAAAGAACTTGCCAAGAGGTCCAAGGAGCTGGAAAGGAAGCTGCAGGAGGATGCTGATAAGGAAGCCAAGACGGTCAAGCTGCTGTTGCTTGGTGAGTGGCCTGGGCACACAACTAGCGGAGGGGAAGACAGTCTGCCACTCTCTTTGCTTTTCGGCTGGGTTGATGGGGTCTGGCAACCCCAGGGAGAGGGGAAGGCCAGGCGTGTTCTTCTCATCCTGGTCCAGTCTCAAGCTAGGAAACCAAGCAGAGCTTGGAGCTAAGTTAATATGGAGCCTGCACAGTCACCCCAAGGGGACCCAGCATGTCAGGGTCACTGGCATTTTTATTTTTACTTTTCCTTGAACTATGAATAGTGCAAGGACAAAGCTGGGCAACCCAACTGCAACAACCCCTTTTGTTGCTGTTGTTGTTCAACAGCTACCCGGAACCCTGGCCATGCAGGCAGGCACACACCAAATCTCCAGGCAGAGAACTGTGGCATACAATAAGTAAACAGGACTCTCTCTCAGCAATGGATTCATAAAGCGCCACCACACAGGAGCAATACATAGTCTCAAGGACAAGCCTACTGGCTTCTGCTAAGTAGACTGGGTCCTTCTCCTTGCTCTCAAAATAAATGTTGGAGAACCTGGTAGGGAGGGGAGACCCACAGGGAAGATGGAGTCTTTAACAGAAGTGCCCTCCTGGCTTTCTACTAAGCAATTGCTCTAAAGCCCCTGGCATCTGGAAGGCTCATCAGCTTGATGCATTCTAAGCAGATCACTGGTTGGTGCCGGGATGAAAAAGCACCTCCGTGGGTCAGTCGTGGAAACCGATCACGGCTTCAACAGAAAACAAGAAACTGACACCTGGCCTGCTCACAAAATCACAAGAAACAAAAACACCTGTGGTACTACTGGAGTGGGATTGTTGGATCTATGGAGCAGAAAGCTGGCTACCTGGGACAGGTTTCCATAAAGAACCCGGAGACTGGGGCAGTAAAGACCAAAGACACACTAAAGGGGCCTATTTGTAAGCTGGACCCAGGCTCCGAGGAATTCAGGAGTTACACAGAACAGAGGCTCAAAGACCAAGGCTCCGAGGAATTCAGGAGTTACACCGGAACAGAGGCTGTAGGGGCAGATCTGTTAAGCCTAAACAGATTGTCTAGGTTCAGGGTAAGCAGCTTAGAGGAAACGGCACAGGCAAGGTGGGAGGAGATTTGGGGGTCAGGTCAGCAGAGGCCTGGAAGAACTGTGAGTTCTTGGTGGGCAAGAGGTCAGCCTAAATAAGGACATTAGAATGTTTTAGCTACAGCAGACACCATCATGGTAGGGGAAAACAGTGTCTCGATGAAGAGCCCCAGCTCTTTCTACTTGACTGTGAATATTTTAAAGGAATTTCTATGAGTCTATCAGTGGTTCCCAATGGGGAGACTTTAGAGAGTCCCAGGGGCACACGATATGTCTGGAGATATTTGGTTGTCACAACTAAGAGTGGGAAGCTAGTGGCCTCTAGTGGGTAGAGACCAGGAAAGGTTCTAAACAGCTTATAGTGCATAGGGCAGCCATAAACAAAAAAGAAAAGAAAAGACAATCCAGCCCTCAATGTAAATAGTGCTAATGGGGACAAACCGCTCTAAGTTCAGGTCAAATGGCCTGAGCTCAGGGTGTCTCTCAATAAGTCTCCCGGAAACACTGTTCACACACCATCTTCTGGACCACTGCGGGAAACTGGTAGAAACTGACGGCATGGCCATTTCCCTTCCAGGTGCTGGAGAGTCAGGAAAGAGCACTATCGTCAAGCAGATGAAGTGAGTGGCAACAGAAGCCCGGGAGGACTGGGGTGGGGGGGCAGGAGCCAGAGTCGATGTGTGCAGAAGGATCCTTAGCTCCGAGGAACCCTGGACTAAAGGACCCGATTTTCAATGTCCTTCTCCTCACCCTGCACTTAGAGACAGCAGTAGAAATACAGGTGGATTCCTGTGACCCTGATGTCCCCTAGAGTCCCAATCCCTTAGGTCTGGTTCCTCAGGTCCTGCTAAAAGTTTAGTGTCTGTTCCTTGAAGGATCATTCACCAGGATGGATACTCACCCGAAGAATGCCTAGAGTTCAAATCTGTCATCTATGGGAACGTGCTGCAGTCCATCCTGGCCATCATCAGAGCCATGTCCACACTAGGCATTGACTATGCTGAACCAAGTTGTGCGGTACGTGATTAATGTTATCTGGTTCAGGGTGGAAGCAGGAGAAGAAATAGACAAGAAACCAACAAACCACAAGGAAAGTCGGGTAAGAAAAAGTTCCGTGTAACTCAAATCGCATCTGCTAAGCTTCAAATCATCTTAGTCCTAGGAGAGTAAACAACCTCTACCTTTATAACAAATGCTTACAAAATTGACTCCTAGCATCTTTTTGCCTTCTAATCTTATCACTTATCACTTTGAGCTTCTTGCCCTAGCCGCGGGACTTTTATAAGCTAATCTACTAGCCTTTTATACACTGAAATACACTAGGTTGTGTATTTCAGGGCCAGTGTAGCCTTTATATTTCCAGTCCCTGCAGCAAAGGACCTGTATTTTCTAGCCGTCCACTTTCAGCCTAATCTGAAATCTAAAACCTGAAGGATCACCTGGGACTATCCTCTAGATATCCCAGAGCTGGCTACTTCTGGAGAGCATGCTCAATAAATTAGCATGTGTCCTTAAACTGCACCTTCCCCGAGACTGTCCTGCCTTAGGCTTTGGTAGCAACACAAAGTGTTTCCCATTCTGTAAATTCCCAGAAATCTCCTCCTGGCAAGTCACTAACTTCTTCTAGCTCATTCTCAGCCACCTTTCTGGATTACACAGGATGCCGGTCGACAGCTCAACAACCTGGCCGACTCCACTGAGGAGGGGACCATGCCTCCTGAGCTGGTGGAGGTCATCAGGAAGTTGTGGAAGGACAGTGGAGTTCAAGCCTGCTTTGACAGAGCTGCAGAGTTTCAGCTCAATGACTCGGCATCTTAGTAAGACTCTAGGGAGATGGGGCGGGGGGATGCCATTCAGGAGAAACCTCACCCAGCCTTAAATTCCAGGTAGTGGGAGCCGCAGACCCACACAAACTGAACTTAAGGCTGTGAGGACATCTGCCAGTTCCCACTGTTTTATAGTCCTCTCTACTGCCTCCCTGAAGCCTATGAAGTTGAAGACACAAAATTCAAAACAGAGGCCCCGCTTAGCAGCCCTTGGTCCTATCTCAGGAGGCAAACCAAAGGAAGATGGTCGGACACTGGGAAACCGTTCATCAACTTTGCAGAGCTGGCTCCAATAAGATAAGGGGCACAGTTATCAGCCCCCAACAGTACAGTATCAGAAGTGGGCATGAGCTGTAAGACTACACAGACCCGTGTTATGTTATCATTTAGTTTCTGGAATCCTCCCTTACTAAGGTTCTGTCCCTGCTAGGTGCACAACATACTCTATATAGCCCTTGTCTATACACTAGCCTGCAAGGTCCACGAGCCCCATTTTCTAGTAGAAAACCTGCAGTCCAGCGAAGTTAGTGAACTGGGCAAAGCTATGCATAAACAGCAGAGGCTGCACTTGGGTCCAGGTCTGCACGAGGACAAAGCTGAGTTTTATAGAAGCCACAGTGCTTTCTTGTTCGGGGTTGAGACAAGGTCTCACTCTGTAGCCAAAGCTGGCCTGAAACTCAGTCCTCCTGCCTCAGTCTCCCAAGTAATCCCTCTGAAGTTTTCCTTTATCTGTAAAGTGGGGGCATGAAATCTCAAAGTCTTCTAAGATTTAGTGAGAATCTGAATGTGAAAATACAAGGTGTACATTAGACATTCACATCAATTTTCCTTCCTTCTCCATATTAAGTCATTGTATTTCACATCTGCCCTCTCTCTACCCTTCATGAACTTCCTCATGTTCTTATGAAAACTTCTGCACACACGAAAGTGGAACACAGTGAACCATCTGGTTTACAGTTGACTCATGGCCACTCTTAGCTGACTTTACACCCCCCCTCACTGGATTAAAGTACCCTGCAGCTATCACTTCGTCCTAACAATTACATTATGTAATTAAAATGCAAAGAAGAAATCGTATCGTCATACCTAAATATTCAATAACTCCTTAATATCTCCAAATACCAGTGTTCATATTCCCCAGTTTGACTGAGGAGAGCAGGTCCACACATTGCCTTATCTTGTGTCTTCAAAGTCTCTTTCAATCTACTCCTGTCTCTTGATGGAACTTGGGACACATATTTAAACAGTCTTATTCAAAGGTCTTGAAAGGCTTAGGACAGAACACTTGCCTCACGGGTATGGCCCTCTGCCCTCCTGCTTCTCAAGCACTTGCACGATCCTGGATTCCGTGCCATGGACTCCAGTCCTGCTTCCATCACTGTATTAGCTGTGTGACTCAGGGGGAGACCCTTTGCCTCTTCTAGTCTTGACTTTGAAGACTGTAACATCATCAACACCACTCTTCTCGTTAGCTACCTGAACCAGCTAGACCGGATTACAGACCCTGACTACCTCCCTAATGAGCAAGACGTGCTTCGATCCAGAGTTAAAACCACAGGCATCATTGAAACCAAGTTTTCGGTTAAAGATTTGAATTTCAGGTCAGCATTCAATTCCCTGGGGCATCTCAGGTCTCATAGCATGTTTCTTGGCCTCTGCTGAAGCCCAATCTGATTACTGTCCTCCTCCTCCTGCCTCTCCTATTTCTGATTTTGCTACTAACTGGCCCCAAGCAGCCACCTCTCAGGATGAATATCAAAGGCAAATGAGTCACATGCTGGTCACACCCATGAGAACAGCTGTTTCTTCCCTTAGGATGTTTGACGTGGGAGGGCAGAGATCAGAGAGAAAGAAGTGGATCCACTGCTTTGAGGGAGTCACCTGTATCATTTTCTGTGCGGCTCTCAGTGCCTATGACATGGTGCTGGTGGAAGATGACGAAGTGGTGAGTGGCATTTACACCAGTTTCAGTGCGACTGGTTTTCATGACCCCTTCTCTAAACCTTGTCATTCCACTGCCCAACTGGACCGGCAGCCCAGACATCTCCTAGCAGAGCAATCTCTGTCTCATGTTTATTAATAACTCCACAAAACCCCTTTTCTGCTGCAGGTTCTAAGTTAGTACTTCAAAGCTCCAAATTTCCTGAGCACGAGTTTGGTCTGAGATTAGGAGTGCAAGCATTGCATGGTCATCACAAAGTTCAAGAGGAAGTGAGGCTAAGTGGAAGGAGATAGAGAAATAGGCATTGCAAGGACTTAAGATGAATATCTATATGCCAGTTCCCTTTTCTTGAGTCTGAGATAAAGACGTCAAAGATGTGAAAACACTAATTTTCTTGCTAGCCAGATGCCCAACAGAAAATACAGCTTTTATCCTAAGTCACTCAAGCTTTGGTCTATCCTACTTCACTTCAGATTTAGTAGCATTCACAATAGAACACTCTGTACCTTTTAGCCAAGATGTCTTGTAGCCAAGATGTCATTATTCACGTTCCAAGATCGATTCCATTTTACCCTCAGTTTACCAGGTATTCAAGTATCAACAGCAGGAGCATTAACAGTGAGGAAAGGCTACAAGTCAGTGCTCCCTGATTAGATGACAAAAACGAATTCAAATCAGCTGATGGCACACTTCAGGTCCCTAAAGGGCTTGTTCCCTAAACACTCACCTGACGTGGACACCAGCTAACTCGGGATTTTGCAGACACGTCTCTCCTTCTCTCTCAAAGTAGCTATGAGAAAAGAAGAGGTTCTGGTGGTATAGCACTGGGAAATCCTGCAGCCCGTAGCTGTGGATCCCCTGACAGAAGCCTAGCAAAATCATCTTGGAGACGCAAATAAAAAAGTGCTAACTGGGCCTGGTTTTGGCCTAACAGCAGCACTATGAATGTTACCTAGACTCTGGCAGCTAAAGATCTCCACACCTAGGTATTCCTATAGCCAGCTATGATGGATACCACTGATACATCCTCTTTAGCCTTCCTAACTCTATAAGGAAACTGAGACTCTGGGCTGCTAATACTCTCTCTCAGATCAGAGCTATTAAAATGACAGAAAGGAGATTTGAATGTTTGGTTGTACCTCACCACAGTAAAAACAGATGATCTGATCCCCTGCTTTCCTTTTATATTGGGAACACTGGGCTGTTCAGTTAGAACAGGAATAAACAGACATCTATCCCACAAGCTGATCTGCTATTTCCCACAATGTTGCCTCCCCAGAATCGCATGCATGAGTCTCTGCATCTGTTCAACAGCATCTGTAACCACAAGTTCTTTGCGGCCACTTCCATCGTTCTCTTCCTCAACAAGAAGGACCTCTTTGAGGAGAAAATTAAGAAAGTCCACCTCAGTATTTGTTTTCCGGAGTATGATGGTAGGTGCAGACAAGAGTGATGTAGTGATGGGACCACCTCATTCCACAGGCCAAAAGCATATAAAGGATCTTGCCTTAAAGGATACCTACCCAGAAGCAAAAGTGGAGACATGGGGACTTTTCCTCCATTCCCTTGTTTAACTCAAGTAAGAAGCACCTGCAAGCACCACAGAGCCCTCACTCCCCACAGTCAGCTGCATGCACAACAGAGCCCTCACTCCCCAGTCACCTGCATGCACCACAGAGCCCTCACTTCCTAGTCAGCTGCATGCACAACAGAGCCCTCACTCCCCAGTTACCTGCAAGCACCACAGAGCCCTCACTCCCCAGTCAGCTGCATGCACAACAGAGCCCTCACTCCCCACAGTCAGCTGCATGCACAACAGAGCCCTCACTCCCCACAGTCAGCTGCATGCACAACAGAACCCTCACTCCCCACAGTCAGCTGCATGCACAACAGAGCCCTCACTCCCCAGTTACCTGCATGCACCACAGAGCCCTCACTCCCCAGTCACCTGCATGCACCACAGAGCCCTCACTCCCCAGTCAGCTGCATGCACAACAGAGCCCTCACTCCCCACAGTCAGCTGCATGCACAACAGAGCCCTCACTCCCCAGTTACCTGCATGCACCACAGAGCCCTCACTCCCCACAGTCAGCTGCATGCACAACAGAGCCCTCACTCCCCACAGTCAGCTGCATGCACAACAGAGCCCTCACTCCCCACAGTCAGCTGCATGCACCACAGAGCCCTCACTCCCCACAGTCAGCTGCATGCACCACAGAGCCCTCACTTCCCAGTCAGCTGCATGCACCACAGAGCCCTCACTTCCCACAGACAGCTGCATGCACCACAGAACCCTCACTTCCCAGTCAGCTGCATGCACAACAGAGCCCTCACTTCCCACAGTCAGCTGCATGCACCACAGAGCCCTCACTTCCCAGTCAGCTGCATGCACCACAGAGCCCTCACTCCCCACAGTCAGCTGCATGCACAACAGAGCCCTCACTCCCCAGTCAGCTGCATGCACAACAGAGCCCTCACTCCCCACAGTCAGCTGCATGCACCACAGAGCCCTCACTCCCCACAGTCAGCTGCATGCACCACAGAGCCCTCACTTCCCACAGTCAGCTGCATGCACCAGAGCCCTCACTTCCCAGTCAGCTGCATGCACAACAGAGCCCTCACTCCCCAGTCAGCTGCATGCACAACAGAGCCCTCACTCCCCACAGTCACCTGCATGCACAACAGAGCCCTCACTCCTCATGACAGTCGCTGACCATATTTGTCTAACACAATACTCCAAGAAGCAAATCAGTCACCTAAAAATTGAGCACTTACAGGCTAATTTATTCCACCTCACTAATTTTTTTAAACCAGGGAACAACTCCTATGAGGACGCTGGGAATTATATCAAGAGCCAGTTCCTTGACCTCAACATGAGAAAAGATGTCAAAGAAATCTACAGTCACATGACTTGTGCTACAGACACACAGAATGTCAAATTTGTGTTCGATGCAGTCACAGACATTATCATCAAAGAAAACCTCAAGGACTGCGGGCTCTTCTAATGCTCAGTCAGTTCCTCAGGTATACATTCTACAAGCAGGCTTAGAAGCGGAGAGACCTCGTGCAGAAAACTAGTCAACAAGTACGGGGACATGGCAACTAAGCCCATTCTGTTGGAGATACAGAAGGCATGCTTGCAAGCGTTTTTCAACTAGTGCAGCTAGTCGGTTTAAAGAATGCATGGGCAAGGATCCTAAGACCCAGGTTCCAGTACTGGTTCTGCTCAGCACAACTGAAACACTTCATTTTCTGAAGCAAAATTCCCCCATCTGTATAATGAAGGTAACTTCCTTACCTACTTCACAGGGCTATTCTGAAAAGCACAACCCTAACTGAAGGAAAAACACATGGAAGGAAGCTGCTGTGGTTGGCCACAGAAAGCCCATAAAGGCTGCAACTGATGGATTTCCACACTTGCTCATTAGAATAAACTATCTCAAAGTGTAAGAGCAAACCTTCCTTACAATGAGCGATGAACTATTAAAAATTAAACCTGGCCCTGGGCTTTTATTAGCAGATCAATATGCCTCAGCTCAGGGACCTGGATCACCAGAGAGGAGATGTGAGCCTACTCATTTCGAAGGCACTCATTCAGAAATGATCATCTTTATTAAAAAACAAATGATCTCTCTCCCCTACCCTGGTTCCCAAACAGCTTCCTTTCTCTCTATAAAGAACTGCTTAGCTATAGAGGAGTGTCTGGCTGAATTTGAGGACATCAACATACTCCCACTTAGGACTCCAGCGCCGCCACTTCTGTATCACAGAATCTGAACAAGAGAGCAATCTGAATTCTCATGCCAACTGCTACATGCTTCACAAGAACAAAAGCGATTGCTGAGCTTGCTTTAGGCACTGGAAATTTTTGCAGCTGGGTCCACGTGAGGCTGGCTGCAAACATCTTCCCAAACAAACCAGGGATAAATTATTCCTTTGAACTCCTCTGAGGGGAAACGAAGCTTGCATTTATCTTGACAGGAGGTGGTGAAACCATGTATAGATTTAGCATTTACAACTACTAGTGAGGAAAGACACTTGGCATCCATGGTTTAGTATATAAAAGAAAGTGTCAATTAAAACGAAAATCTGCTCCTTGCCAGAAACACCCATTCACACTTAGCTGCTTCCAGCAATATTAATACTAGAGAGTCAGCCAGCCTCAGGAGCTTGAAATGCACCAAAGAACCAATCTGAGACCACTGAAATGAGGATTCACTTAATGGTCTGAATGAGCAAACGAACACACATACACACTCCAATCTGCCAGAATTACCATAGGAACTACTCTAGGTGTGGCTATTAGCAACAACAAAAAACCCTTAAAACAAAAATAAATAAAAAACAAACCCCATCTGGGCAAAGCACTTACAGAAAAGGTAATATAAGGACTACTTTGAATGGCACGTCCCAGCCATCACCCATCTGTCCATTCTAACTCAGTGTACAATGACTTTTGAGAGTGTTTTAGATCATGAATCCCTACAGCAGGATGAGGAAGGCTATGGATCTCTCTTCAGAGCAATATTTTGCTTTTCCCATTTTTATGAGATGGGGTCTCATTGTACTGCCAAAATCACTCTTGAGTTTGTGAGTTCAAGGGATGCATCTGCTTCAGTCTGGTGAAGAGCAGGACTACAGGCATGCACCAACACCCCCATCTCAGAATGCTTTTTTAAAAAAGATTCATTCTTATGTGTATGAGTGTTTTGCCTGCATGTATGTCTGTGAAGAACTTGTAAGCCAGGGTTCCACTGACGTCAGAAAAGGGTGTCAGACCCCTGGAACTAGTTCCAGATGGTTGTGAGCTACCATGCAGGCAGGTACTGGGAACAGAACCCAGGTCCCTGGAAGAGCAACCAGTGTTCTTAAACCACTGAGCCATCACTCTGTCCCTTAGAATGCTTTAAAATGCCTTAGATAAAATTCAGACTTACAAAGGAAACAAGCAAATTAAACAATTTGATCTGTAGACTCTGGAGTTTTTGTTTTGTTTTGTTTTTTGTTTTTTTTTTTAAACCAGAGCGAATCCAGGGCCTTGCACTTGCTAGGCAAGCGCTCTACCACTGAACTAAATCCCCAACCCCTTCTTTTTTTTGACTCTGGAGCTTTTGAACCCCCTAACTGAGTTAGGACCAGTAGTACTGTCACACAGCTTTAAGTCCAGCATGTACTCAGGAGGCAGAGGCAAGAGGGTCTGTGAGTTCCAGGCCAGCCAGGTATACAGAATGAGACCCTGCCTCAAACACCAGAACCCAGAGTATGGTCGTTCATTCAGGCCCCAAACAACTTTCCGCCATTTGCTCCTTGGAGAAGAGCCTCCCCTCCGGACTGTACTGACCCCTTCGCTTCTCTTTATCTCTGGCTACTAATATTCACACAAAACTTGCCCTCTAGTGTAAGAGCCAGTGGAATAGGACTTCTGGCAGAACAATAAAATTCTCAAGCCAAAAACAGAGTTGCATTTTAACCCTCTCCTGTTTTCTGACAGATATTTTAATGTTTAACTGGCTCACAAACTCACATCCTTGCATGCACATCTCACCAAATTGTTTTCTTGGCAGACGGAGGGGAAACAGTGACTCCCGAAAGGGCGGTATTCCAGTTTTTCAGTTGATGTTAGGACATGGTCACATACACCACCTAACACCGCGGGCCCCCGGCCACCCACTCATCTGTACCTTAGAACAAAGTCAAAGGGACTTTCAGAACTTGGCCAGGACTCCCCTCCGAGGAGGGGGAGGGACACAGCTGGTGTTGCCATGGATCCTTATCCAGCGTGGCAGGCTGACACTGCCCCTCCATTTCACTCTTCAGACTACAGAGAAAGGCAATCTTTACTTTTACGTAAGTGGCCTGTTTTGTTTGTTTGTTTTTGTTTTTAACAGTGTCTCGCTGTGCAGACCATGCTGGCCTCAAACTCAGACATCCACCCGTCTCTGTCTCCCAGTTGTTGGGATTAAAGGTGTGAACAACCATGCTAATGAGCCTATTTTGATTATGTACGTGAAAAGCCTTTTGTGTAAAAACACAAAAAGGGCCTAAAACCAAATCTACACCATGTAGTCTGCTGTTTTTTCTTTTGCCTCATTAAAAATTGACATTAGTCACCACTGTTAGATGTCATATCCCTTGTAAGCTAGCAGAGTCTTCTCACTAACCCAGCCCTATTGGCATCTACTGTGACCTTAGTTCTTAGAATGCTGTATTCAAAAGGAACTCTCTAAGATAAACAGGTTCCCAAACTGAACTTAGCAGCACAAAATATAAACAAATGTGTTTGCTTGATGGCCTGAGGTCCTGTTTACAGCCTTAGATAGCAGACTGTGAGGCACTTCCCTACCACAGCATGATTAAAGCGACAACCCGGACAGAGACTGCTAACATGTCACATCAACCTGATGAGCTGAGGTTAACACTATGATGACATGATAAGACAAATAGTGTATAAATCTACTTATCTGAAGTACTTAAAAGCATGAAAAACAGGAGAATGACGGTTACCAGGGCCTGGAGGGAAGAAGGAACTGGGAATTACTATTTAGTATGCAGCACTTACAACTAGGAGAAGAAATAAATTTCACGACAGTGGGAATATATTAATGTTACCCAACGGTATACTTGATTATAAAACTTGGAGTTCTTGTTATGTATTCTTTCCTGCAGTAAAAATAATGGGAAAATAATCAGCAATGTGCTAGTAGACTTTCTGTGGGAAAATGAACGATACACAGAAGCAGCACCAGTCATTCAGAGAAAGACACACATCCCTGAAGAGGTCTTCCTCTGACCGCAACACTTACACTGTCCGAATCACTGCTCCCTGCTGTCCTCAAGGTGCCACAACAGCATTTCAACCCCACTCTCTACTTGGAGATATGCCGGAGACCAATCTGTGCTGGTAATGCTGGGGGGAGGGGAAGGGTGAAGAGCGCTTACTTCCCACTGCCCTCTCTACCCAGCACAGCCCCCGGAGGGAGGACTTCACTGCTGGCCAGGGCCTGCCAGTGCTAAAGCCTCTGGGGTGCTGCCTGTTAACAACGTGAAGTCTCTGGGAGGGCAGACAGGCATGCTGAGATAGCGGAAGGGAACACACCAGTGTGAATAGAAAATAAAGATGGCTGAAATATAAAGCAAAGACCTTTACCCTGTTTCATAAAAAAAAAAAAAAAAAAAAGAAATTCAGGATCAACAAACATTCATGTCCTCAAAATGGAAGCAATGCTGTGCACCAGCTACTGTAAACACGTGTTATAGGACATTACTTTTTTTGCAGTGTAGTATAATCCTGATTATCAGAAAGAACATTACATCTTCAAATGTTATTTCTATCTGGTCAAATGATAGATTATCACACCTGGAGAGAGTAATTTAGTGCAGCCCATATTTGGACAACATAAGAGGAATGTAAGACTGAAAATGACCTGTTCAGAACAGAACCCAGTACTCAAGTTACTCCCAGTCTCCTAAGATTTCTCAGAGGTCTCAGGACTTTTGTTCCACATGAGCAAAGATAAAAAGTAATTTCTTGTATTCTATCTTTGGGAAATCTCAAAGATAAACAAACTTTTCAGTCAAAATGTCTGAGTAGCCCAACGAATATTAAGGTGGGCCTGGAGATAAGTAGATGATATGATAGGCCAGATCACACAAAATCAATTTGGCCAATGTTAATACACTGCAATAATGTGTCACTAATTATTGATTACTTCTGCCACCTTGTGATCCCTGTAAGTGCTGCATATTCATCTGTTACTACATAGTCACTTGTCATGGGATTTTTAAACCTTTCACTGCGTAAATAAATACTATACACAAATGAAGTAGAAATAAATGTTTGGATGTCCCAACTCCTTCGAAAATTTGTATAAAAATTAAATAATCTGCACCTAAGATGTAGGAATGTTTTTTGAACCAACATTCCTCACACCAATTGTCTGTATGAAAGGTACTTTAAAGGCATGTTTGAAAATAAGTTTACAAAAAAATTTTAAGACATTTTTGTTTCCCGTGTATGAGTGTTTTGCCTGTGTGTGTGTGTGTGTGTGTGTGTGTGTGTGTGTGTGTGTGTGTGCCTGGTGCCTACAAAAGAGGGTGTGACAAGCCCAGGAACTGGGTTACAGACAGCTGTGAGCTGCCTGTGGGTGCTGGGACCTGGAAGAGCGGCCAGTGCTCTGAACTCCTGAGTCACTCCCTAACACCCAGGAGTAGCTCTAAGTTACTGACAAAATAAAGACCTGTCATTCACTAGTGACTGTCAGATTATGCATGGTCTGTAATGAACACACGTGTTCTTGCTACTAGTAGTCTGGCCTGTTCTTTTGGCACAAGTTGCTCAAGGAATTTAGTATTTAAAAACAAAAACAAAAACCCCCGAGCCGGGCGGTGGTGGCGCACGCCTTTAATCCCAGCACTCGGGAGGCAGAGCCAGGCGGATCTCTGTGAGTTCGAGGCCAGCCTGGGCTACCAAGTGAGTTCCAGGAAAGGCACAAAGCTACACAGAGAAACCCTGTCTCGAAAAACCAAAAAAAAAAAAAAATAAAAAAAAAACAAAAACCCCCACATTTTCCCAGGATGTCTTTGTGAGTTTTAATTTAGTTCAGTTTAGTCAGGGAATCTGCAAAAATTAATCATGTACCCCAGGTGTACCTCTTATTTCTGAGAAGATCTGAGCTATGTCAGGCATGGTATTAGGTGGGGGAAAAAAACAACCACAACCCTATAACTGTACTACCCTGACTCATTCTTTTTTTGTTTGTTTGTTTTTTCGAGACAGGGTTTCTCTGCATAGCTTTGGAGCCTGTCCTGGAACTCAAAGACCAGGCTGGCCTCAAACTCAGAGATCTACCTGCCTCTGTCTCCTGAGTGCCGGGATTAAAGGCGTGCACCACCACACCCAGCCCCTGACTCATTCTAAAGTATGTTGTCCTCCACAAAAGTAGGTCAAAAACAGTAACCGTGCATGCGTTCATGTGTGTGTGTTGTGTGTTGTGTGTGTTGTGTGTTGTGTGTGTGTGTGTGTGTGTGTGTGTGTGTGTGTGTGTGTGTGTATAAAATATAATGAAGGAACACAGAGCTTGACCATTCTGGAAATCAGTTTCCTAGCTTCTAATAATTCATATCGAAACCAAGTTTCCATGGCAAGCCTCTAGGTGTCCTGTATTTTCTCTAGTGCTTATTAGAAACAATATAATAATGTACAGTGGTCACAGAGTGACATGGAGAGCTGTGTCTGATCCAGGTCAGGTCTCTGGTTTGTACTGTGGAGCCTGAGGAAGAACACAATAATTACCTGGCAGTAGAGGCAAAGAAATTAAGATAACATTTTCCTTACAGTTTAGTAGCAACCATACAAGAAACACACGATACCCAAACACTAACATCCACTAACCTGAGTGCTATTTAGCTTCAACCAGAGGACTGTGATCAACATCCTCAACACCTGGAAGAGGGAAAAGTCCAAGGAAGGTCTTTCACCAGAATGAGACTGACTTTACTTTCTATGTGACTTCAATCCACCAAGGAGTTGGCAGCAGTGCTAACCGGAGGGACAGGGACGTGACTGGGACCAGTCAGGGCAAAGCGGCACCGTCTAAAGCCACGACGACAGCCAGCAACAGCAGCCAGGAAAGGGCACGTGATGAATGAGAAAGGCCAGCAGTGCCAGGCGGTGGGGACATGTGTCTATCCCAGCCCTCGGGAGGCAGAGGCTGGTGGAGATCTGTGAGTTTAAGGCCAGCCTGGGCTACAGACAGCCAGGACTGCTACAAAGAGAAACCCTATCTTGAAAAACCAAAGAGAAGCCAGCAGTTATTTCTGGCTAAAAGGTCTCTGTGTATGTATAATAATATATTTGAGAATTTTAAAAAGAAACTTTTTTTAACTGGTCCTCTTATTCTATGATTTCAGCACCGTGTAAACAGTAACAACCCATCAGTTAAATGATACTGTGAGTCACAGCTGTACAATTTAGAA